TACAGGGGAAAGGCTCGAAAGCCTGTATTTAAAAAATAAAATAGTTTCCCAGACTTCTCCCAGCCCAAGACTTGGAGGCACTTGTTACAGCTGAAGGATGAGGTGCCATCTGATAATACACAATTAATCAAAAGTCTTCATACTGAAGAAGCCCTGGTGGCACAGTGGCTACGAGCTCGGCTGCTAACCAAAAGGTCGGCAGTTCGAATCTACCAGCCACTCCTTGGAAACCCTATGGGGCAGTTCTACTCTGTCCTATAGGGTTGCTAAGAGTCAGAATCGACTCGATAGCAATGGGTCATACTGAAAGATGGCACCCTTATCCCTCTTGCCCTGCTTAGCTAACAGAACTCTAGAAGATAAGTTTATACCCTGTGCTGATTGTTCTCTGTTTACCTTTCCAGATTTGTTCCCAATTCTCTCCCCTGCCCGGGGAGGATGACCTCTGTGGACTGTAATCACTCAAGGCTATCTTAGCCTTTGCCAATGAGAGGCACTAGCAGAAGATCAGTTCCTTTCCCTTGCCACGTTAGGCCTAGAGGAGCTAAGGACTTCCAGCTGTTTTTAGTCCTTGGTTATTTCACCATTCCTGTTTGGTAAAGAGTCCCTTCATTAAACTCTCTTCAAGGAACCGTTCTGTTACTCTCTTTAATTACCCCATGAGTGATCCATCTGTTTTTTACAGACTCAGACAGATATACACCCCCTGGAACTTTTACAGCATGCCTCTATAGGACCTGAGCAAGCCCGAGAAAAAGACCTACAGACGTTTGTTTCTAAACAAAAGGCAACAGCATGAACAAATGCCCAGAGGCATGAAACAGTTAATTGTGTTCCAGTAACCACCAGTGTTACTAGGTGTTATGTGTGAGATGAGGAGTGATTGAAGATGACCCCAGAAGCAGACAAATTTAATTCACAGGATATCTTGTAAGCTAAATCAAGGAGCTTGGACTGTACCTGGTATGCTCTACAGAGTCACTGAAGGATTTGAAGTTTCAGATAAATCATGCTGGAGGCAATATGAAGGAAAATTCTGAGATGGGGTAGGGTTGGAAGATGGAAGACATGAGAGAGACAACTGCAATAGTTCCAGTGAGAGAAACTGAAGGTCATAATTCAAACAGTGGCAGAACAATGGAGGGAATAGACAGGAAATTAGAGGCTATTTGGACATGGGAGGCAGAGTAGGGGAATAAAGGGGAGAGGATGGACCCTCAGGCCTCTGACTTAGCAGCTGGATGAACAGCGTTTCACTGAGGTAGAGTGTAGAGTGGGATCGAGTTTTGAGAGCAGGAATTCATTGGAGGAGGGATACAGAATGATGGAAAGTTGTATTCTGAACATGTTGAGTTTGAAGCATCTGTGGGATATTCAGATGAAATTGTCCCTAAGGCACAGGGAAAGAGTTTCCCTTCAACTCACTGAACTCGGTCAGTGTGGAGGACATTGAACTCTGAGTTTTCCTCTCTCTTTAATGAGAGGGGGAGTACGGGAGTGAGGGAGACCAGATCCAGATCCAGAGAAAAAAGGCAGAGCAAAACTGACTTTGACCTTAAGATGGCAGCAGGCAGCAGGTACACAAACCCAAACCAAACCCAACCCATTGCTATCAAGTTGATTCCCACTCATAGTAACCCTACAGGACAGAGTAGAACTGCCCCATAGGATTTCCAAGGTAGTGATCTTTATGGAGGCAGACTGCCACATATTTCTCCCACTGAGTAGCTGGTAGGTTTAAACTGCCAGCCTTCCAGTTAGCAGCCAGGTGCTTTGACCACTATACCACCAGGGCTCCTAGACAGCAGGTAAGACCAGAATAAAATGCTCCCAGTGCAGGCACCCATTTAACCACAAGATGTACTAGAGAGCTTAGCTTCAAGAAAGCAGAGCCCTAATCAGCACCTCCTTCAGCGCTGTAAAGCCACCACTTATGGTGTTGTGCATTTTGTTTGTTAATAAGGAAGGGCTTTTCACTGGTGAATAGGGCTGAAAATAGACATTTAGAACATTCTACAACAGAGTATCTAGGCTCCAGTATGCTCTAGAAGTGAGGAACATTGTGTGTGATGAGAGGGGACTCCAGGATCATGCAGGTATCTGTTTCAACTGGACATCAGGGGCTACGAGATGGCAGATGTGAGCGTTCAATATGAATGATAAGGTATGAAAGGTGATCCAGAAGTTAGGTGAATTGGCACAAAACAATGAGAAACAAGAACAAAGATACTAACAGATCTATGTATCACCAAGTAGGACTACAGGTTTCACACCAGTTGGTTCTTGAAGAGGTCCAGGTACTTCCAGGCCAAATACTAGATTACACGTGGGCATCTTGCCCTCTTGGCCCTTAATACCACTGTAAACACAGCAGTGTCACTCACTGTGGAACTAGATCAATTAACAAGAAAAAAACCAAATCAGTGTGATTGTGTGTTTGCATATTGTCTCCATCACAAAGCAAACTCCTAGGCAGTCTTTTTCTCTGAAGGGTCCTCCTCTCACAAAGCACAGATAACCTCCCTGTTGACTCCTTCCACGTCCCTCCTCTAGGCCTGGACAGGGCAGTAGTGGTTATGTAGTTATGCCTTACTTAACGGCACTCAGCTGCAGGAGTGAGAGGGGACTGAAATCATGCTACCCCTGCCAAGAGTAGGATTTCTCCACATTGACACTATTGATATTTTAGACTGGATAATTCTTTTCAGTGGAAGGGCTGTCTTGCGCATTGTGGGATGTTTAGTAGCATCCCTGGCCTCTATCCACTACGTGCCAGTAGCACCTCCCCAGTTGTGACAATCGTAAATGCCTCCAGATACTGCTAAACGTCCCCAAGGGAGCAAAATCTCCCCTGGCTGAGAATCTTTGGCCTTGAAGACCATCTTTTTCTAATTTACCAAAAACGTCACATGGGCAAGTAGTAGCCCTGACAGAACTCACCATAGTCCTGGGAATATTCCTCCAGACCAAGCAGTTCCAGATGCCTTGGCAGTTCTTACCAGGGTGAGACTTCCAGTCCCTTTCTCTGTCTGTCCTCTGGACCCTAGATGGGTCTGCATGTGTCCCCGTGAGTTACAGCCCTAGGACTGGGCAGAGTATTCCAGGTGGGTGCCTGTGGAATAGGAGCTCTCCCCTCCAGGCAGACAGAAACTTTCAAAAGTGCCCACCCAGGGCAGCACGTTGACCTTCTAATGGGCAGATGAACATTTTGCCTCTTGGCTTCTTTGCCTTCTCATCCTACTTTGTTATTTACCAACTGCTTCATTCAGTTTTGCTTGGAAATTCCTTATGTAAATCCCTGTGGCTGTTCACATGCTATATACTACCTTTTACTTGAGAAGTGGTTATTTTAAAAATATATATATTATATATACTATATATTTGTTAAAATATTATATATAATATATGTGTGTGTGTGTAATTCTGAGAGTCTGCCCTTAAGATTTCCGGCGTTCTTATTTTTTCAGAATGTGTAAGCCATGGTTACCTCCATCATCAGACATAGAAACCTCTCATAACTCCATTTCGTATTTCATAACATTCTGGAGGATGAATACATATCTCTTCAAAGTCCCTCTATTCCACAAAGTTTACTTCATACCTGCCATTTAACGTATATATATTTTTTAAGATTGATCTCTCCTATAAATTTGGTGCAAATCCCTGTCCAGTCAATTTCCTAATATGCTGTTGAGGCAGAAATTTCATTTTAACCATGTAGATTTGCTTCACTCCTCCAATCCCAACTAGTTTCTTTTCCTTACTTGCATTCATTTGCATGCTTTAAATTTGCATTTTGGTTCCTGAATATTCTGTTCATAAAATGTAGCGGATACAGGATTTAGAATTGCGAAACATCACTGTAAAAAATTAATCCATTACAACCTTTTCCGTCCAGTACGGTAACAGTCATAATGGGGAAATGCAATATATGATGACTCTAAAAAGTTGAGGAATTTTCTTTACGATAAAAAGGTTTTATGTCCCAAATGCTGATTTGAGAGGGGAGTTCGTGGAGAGAAGACGCAGGATCGGAGCTGGGTAGAGTTTAGGGCTGAAAATATTTGCTACTGCCCTGGCTCGCCCTTCTTCCCCCAAGACTCAAGCAAGGCGCCCCGCACAGCGCTTCCAGTCAGAGACTGCGTCTTGCCGGGCGCTTCCGCGACCGACACAGTGTCCTCCGTGGTGGTTAGAGCACAGCATCTCTGGGGGCGCCCTAAGGCGACGTTGAGTCTAAGGGCCATTGTCGCAAACTGCATCAGAACGTAGAGCTGTCGAGAGATTAACGTTTCTAGAATTCGAGATGATCAGCTTCAAAAAACCACCCTTTCTGCGGGAATAGCTCAAACTAAACATCCCGTGAGAATGGGGCTTTGCGTTCAGTTCATTATCCCTTCAAGAACAGAATGCTCTTTCTCGACCTCACATACTTCGTGGACTGACACAACAAACGTATCCTCAAATGTATCTAGCAAGATGTTTCCTCAAAAATGAAAGCAACCTATGCTAAACAGCACCAACAAGTACACGGAACTGGGGAGGCGGGGGACAAATTCCCCGGAAAATGCGTTCTCAGAGCCCTTTGAAAATGAGGAGGGTATCTGGGAAAGACCAAACCTAACGACTGCAGGAACACCGGAGCGTGCAGGCGACGTCAGACGACCGCCCTCCCGCCGCAGGGCACGACGGGAGGAGTGGCGGAACGCAGACAGGCTCGCGGCGCGGGCCCGGAGCCCTCCGGAAACCAAACGAACGCTGCGGATGACTAGACGGGCATGCCCCTGGCCCGCAGCAGCTTGGCGTCTCCCACTTTTTGTGGAAACACCATTACCCTCGCGCCGCCCGGATCCCCGTAGGTTTCTTGCGTCCCTGATAGACGCACGGTGACGCAGTTCCTGTGCGCACCAATCCCGGGCTGGCTGGAGGGCGGGCTCTTCGAATTTGAATTCCCAAAACTGTTGTGGATGTCAGGCACCCTAAAGGAGACGTGAACGTCGCCTGTGTCCGAGCTGCGGCACACCGAGGCCAGCGTGGGCCTGAGGCGCGTGTCCTTGGGCGCCTGGCCCCCTCCGCGCTGTGCCGAGCTCGCACTGCCACCGTCCTCTTTGCCAAGCCCTCCACCAAGGTACGGCCTCTCCTCTCCCCTAGCCTCCTGCTAGCGTTGCACGTCCCAGCCGCTAGACCCACGCGGGCTTTAGTAGATTCTGGCTTTGGCAGTGGTTTCACAAGTGCCTATTTTGTTCGGTGTTTATTTGTTGCGTGTCTACGCAGTTGTCAGAACGCTCTCGCTCAGATTCGTTTCCGCTCAGATTCATTTCCATGTTGAGCCCTCTAGGCCTTTGTTCTAAAATCACTTACAGAAAAGAAGAAAAAAGTTAGGTTAGAATGATTATTGTTGTTAAGTGCCTTCCAGTCAGCTTCTCATGGCGACCTCAGGTATAACAGAAAGAAACATTGCCTGGGCCTGCGCCATCCTCACAGTCGTTGCTATGTTTGAGCCTATTGCAGCCACAGTGTCAGTCCATCTCATTGAGGGTCTCCCTCTTTTTTGCCTACCTTCTACTTCACTAAGCATAATATCTTTCTCAGCTATTGGTCCCTCCTGATGACATGTCCAAAGTAAGCGAGACTACCTTCTAAGGAGCATTCTGGCTGTACTTCCTCCAAGATAGATTTATTTGTTGTGGCAGTCCGTGCTATATTCAATATTTTTCACCAACACAATAATTCAGATGCGTTAATTCTTCTTCATTCTTCCGTTTTTCTTTGTCCAGCCTTCGGGACACTGTTCTTTTCTCAGCTTGTGGGACACCAGTTATCTGTATACTGAATTTCCATTGTCTAACATCTGCCTTTTTCATCAGAGATTGAGCATTAATGATTTGGGCTTTTTTGTTGTTGTTCTGCTCTTCTGTTAACTAGGAAAGGAATAGGGCTTCAGATCTTTCTTGGGTGGCCTATACTTAATGGTTTATTTGTTTTTCTTTTATTATTCTGAAAAGTTTCTACGGTCAGAAAAAATCCTAGGCGATTATTTTTACACCTTCTGTCTACTACCAACCACACTGAAGCCACTGGCAGATATTGGCAGTTCTTTTGGTTTCTGTTAAGTGGCCATTTGTCACATAGTGGTAGAGAAGGGCTCCTAGAGAAACTTTCTGTGTCTTTTTGGAAAGGGGGGATGGAATCGGAGGATTTTTAAGAATCTTGACTATTCACCTTCTCCATCCTATTACTTGCTTGAATGGAGAGGTGGGGAGGGGCGAGGCAGGCTGAGGAACATGAAAGGGAAGAGCTGTGTCTTAGAGCCTTTCGTTGTGACCATAATTATCTGCCTTTAGATGAAAACAGTTCTGTATGTCTGGTACAGATTGGGCCTGTTTTCAATGCTGCTAGTATTTGCAGTTTTCACTTCTTTTTTTTTAGCATATCATTAGGTTCTAAGGAATTGTAATCGTGTAAATGTTTTAGTGGTAGAATTCTCGCCTTCCATGCAGGAGATCCAGTTTCAGTTCCCAGCCAGTGCTCCTCTATCAGTGGAAGCTTGCATGTTGTTACGATGCTGAAAAGGCTTCACAGCTTCCAGGTTAAGATAGACTAGGAAGAAAGGCCTGCATTCTACTTCCAAAAATAAGTCAGTGAAAACCTTATGGATTGAAACTATCCGAACTGCAGTCAATCACGGGAATGGTACAGAACTGGACAGCCTTTAATTCCATTATGCATGGGCTCTCCATGAGTCAGGGCTGACTCAAAACAGCAGCTAGCAACAGCAACAAACCTGTACACACTTTGCTGCGTTCCCCTATAATTTACCAAGTTATTAATTTTTTTTTTTTTTTTTGAGAGCTAGTATGGCTTTAGTGATATAGTTAAAACTAAACTGTTAGTATTATACCTCCCAGCACAGGACTCCTGGCACCTCGCACATTGTCTAACACATAAATATATGTGTTAATACATATTTACTGAATTAACATTCTGTGGAAGAATTACACTGGTTTTTGCGTTCAGGACAAGACTCCCAAGATAAACTTTGTCAGCTCATATTATTGAGAAATTTTTTTCCCTTTTTTCTTTTCTTTTCTTACTTAACCATTGCACCACCAGGGATCCTAGTATATTCTAAATTACTGGATAAAATATAAATTTGTATATGAATTTTTAACTCACATATATATATCTCACAGGAGTTATTGTAGATATAGACACTTGATGTCTTTTGGTCTGATTACATTAATATTATCTGTGATAGGCTTTTTATGTTTATATGATGTCCTAAACTGATTGGAATAATTATAAATTCAGCAATAAGAGATGCTATAAACCTACTAGTGCCTTAGTTATATAGTGCTGCTATAACAGAAATACCACAGGTGGGTGGCTTTAACAAATTTATTTTCTCACAGTTTAGGAGGCTAGAAGTCCAAATTCAGCATGCTGGCTCTAGGGGAAAGCTTTCTCTCTCTTTTGGCCATGGAGGGAGGTCCTTGTTTCTTTGAGCTTCTGTTCCTGGGTGATCTTCATGTGGTTGGCATGTGTCTTCCCCCATCTCTGCTTTTTCATCTTGCTTATTTCTTGTTGCTGTTGGTAGGTGCCATCGAGTGGGTTCTGACTCACAGCGACCCTGTATACAACAGAACAAAACACTGCCTAGTCCTGTGCCAACCACACAATCATTGCCATGTTTGAGCTCATTGTTGCATCCACTCTATCAATCCATCTTATGGACAGTCTTCACTTTTTCGGTGACCCTCTACCTTACCGAGTATGATGTCCTTCTCCAGGGACTGGTCCCTCCTGATAACGTGTCCAAAGTACTTAGTGTGAAGTCTCACTATCTTCCCTTCTAAGGAGCATTATGGCTTACTTCTTCCAAGACAGATTTGTTCGTTCTTCTGACAGTCGATGGTATATTCAATATGCTTCTCTAACACCATAATTCAAATACATCAATTCTGCTTTGGTCTTCCTCATTCATTGTCCAACTTTTGCATGCATATGAGGCAATTGAAAACACCATGGCTTGGGTCAGGTGTACCTTAATCCTCAAAGTGACATCTTTGCTTTTTAACACTGTAAAGAGGTCTTGCCCAGTACAGTACGTCCTTTGATTTCTTGACTCTTGCTTCCATGGGCGTTGATCGTGGATCCAAGTGAAATGAAGTCCTTGACAATTTACAATTTCAGTCTTTCCTCCGTTTTTCATGGTGTTGCTTATTGGTCCATTTGTGAAGATTTTTGTTTTCTTTATGTTGAAGTGTAATCCATACTGAAGGCTGTGGTCTTTGATCTTTATCAGTAAGTGCTTCAAGTCGTCTTTACTTTCAGCAAGCAAGGTTGTGTCATCTACGTATCACAGATTGTTAATGAGTCTTCCTCCAATACTGATGCCGCATTCTTCTTCATATACTCCAGCTTTTAGATTGTTTGCTCAACATACAGATTGAATAAGTGCAGTGAAAGATACAACCCTAACGCACACCTTTTCTGATTTTAAATCACGCGGTATCCCTTTGTTCTGTTTGAAAAACTGCCTCTTGGTCTATCTCCAGGTTCAACATGAGCACGATTAAGTGTTCTGAGTTCCCATTCTTTGAAATGTTATCCATTATATTTCTTATGATCCACACAGTCGAATACCTTTGCATAGTCAGTAAAACACAGGCAAACGTCTTTCTGGTATTCTCTGCTTTCAGCCAAGATCAATTTGACATCAGCAACGATATCCCTCATTCCACCTCCTCTTTCGAATTTGGCTTTAATTTCTGGCAGTTCCCTGTCGACGTACTGCTGCAACCATTTTTGAATTATCTTCAGCAAAATTTTACTTGCATGTGACATTAATGATATTGTTCGATAATTTCTCCATTCTGTTGGATCACCTTTCTTTACAATGGGCACAAATATGGATCTCTGCCTGTCAGTTGGCCAGGTAGCTGTCTTCCAAATTTCTTGACATAGAAGAGTGAGCACCTCCAGCACTGTATCTGTTTGTTGAAACATCTCAATTGGCATTCCATCAATTCCTGGAGCCTTTTTTTTCGCCAGTGCCTTCAGTGAAGCTTGGACTTCTTCCTTCAGTACTATCAGTTTTTGATCATATGCTACCTCCTAAAATGGTTGAACATTGACCAATTCTTTTTGCTACAGTGACTCTGTGTATTCCTTCCATCTTCTTTTGATGCGTTCTTCTTCATTCAATATAGAATCCTTCAATGTTTCAACTTAAGGCTTGAATTATTTCTTTAGTTCTTTCAGCTTGAGAAATGCCGAATGTGTTCTTCTCTTTTGGTTTTCTAACTCCAGGTCTGTGCACATTTCATGATAATACTATACTTTGTCTTCTCGAGCTGCCCTTTGAAATCTTCTGTTCAGCTCTTTTAGTTCATCACTTCTTCCATTCACTTTAGCAACTCTACATTCAAGAGCCAGTTTTAGAGTTTTTTCTGACATCCATTGTGGTCTTTTCTTACTTTCCTGTCTTTTTAATGACCTTTTGCCTTGTTCAAGTATGATGTCCTTGATGTCATTCCACAACTCACCTGGTCTTCAATTATTAGTGTTCAGTGCAACCAATCTATTCTTGAGATGTTCCCTAAATTCAGGTGGGATATACTCAAGGTCATACTTTGGCTCTCGTGGACTTGTTTTAATTTTCTTCAGCTTCATCTTGCATATGAGCAATTGATGGTCTGTTCCACAGTCGACTTCTGGCCTTGTTCTGAGTGATGATTATGAGCTTCATCATGTCTTTCCACAGAGGTAGTCGATTTCATTCCTGTGTATTCCATCTGGTGAGGTCCACGTATATAGTTGCCATTTATGTTGTTGATGAAAGGTATTTCCAATGAATAAGTTGTTGGCCTTACAAAATTCTGTCATGTGATCTCCAGCGTCATTTCTATCACTAAGGCCATATTTTCTAACTATCAATCCTTCTTCTTTCCAACTTTCACATTCTAATCACTAGTAATATCAATGCATCTTAATTACATGTTTGATCAATTTTAGACTACAGAAGTTGGTAAAAATCTTCACTTTCATCATCTTTCGCATTAGTGATTGATGTGTGAATTTGAATAATAGTCATATTAACTGATCTTCATGTAGGCTTATGGATATTATCCCATGACTGAAAGTGTTGTACTTCGGGATAGATCCTGAAATTTTTTATGACAGTGAGTGCGACACCATTTCTTTTTTAATTTGTCATTCCCGGCATAGTAGACCATATGATTGTCCCCGCCAAAGTGGCCAATAGCAGTCCATTTCAGCTCCCGAATATCTAAGATAGCAATCTTTATGTGTTCCCTTTCATTTTTGACTACTTCCAATTTTCCTAGATTCATACTTCGTACATTCCACATTTCAATTATTAATGGATGTTTGCAGCTGTTTCTTCTCATTTTGAGTCGTGCCATATCAGCAAATGAAGGTCCCGAAAGCTTTACTCCATCCACGCCATTAAGGTCTACTCTACTTTGATGAGGCAGCTCTTCCCCAGTCGTATTTTGAGTGCCTTCAAACCTAGGGGCTTATCTTCCAGCACTAAATCAGACAGTGTTCTGCTCTTATTTATAAGGTTTTCACTGGCCATTATTTTCAGATGTAGACCACCAGGTCCTTCTTTCTAGTCTGTCTTAGTCCGGAAGCTGCACTGAAACCTGTCTACCATGGATGACCCTGCTGGTATTTGAAATACTGGTGGCATAACTTCCAGCATCACAGCAATGTGCAAACCACCACAGTACCACTAACTGACAATCAAGTGGACTGTCAGGCATAGATGTTAGGATTTACAACACATACTTAGGCAGGAAGGGCACAATTCAATCCATAACAACTAGTAAGTTCCAAAGTTCTGTATTGAAATATTTTATTTATTTACCAAATATTACTGAGTGCTAACGTGGATTTTCTCCTAGAATGTTAATTTCTAGATGTGGGAATTAAAATGTATACATAAGAAACAATTAAATTGCTTCTTGGTGTGTTGGCTAAGATCAAGTGTAGAAACAAAACAAGTCTAAGACCACGTATGCTCAAGAACATAATTTCCTCTAAAAATTTCAAACAGTGTTACATTTTTTAAAATTAGAATGAATATAATTTACTTTTGACATGAGGGCTTTGCAACAAAACTTAATAATAATTAAAATATTCTAGGGTATCACAAAATCAGGATTAGGAATTACTTAACTGAATAATCAGGTGGATTTTTCAGTCTTCATTAGGATATATCATTGTAACTGCTGCCTTCAAATTTAAGTGCCATATCTGTGAAACTTTTAAAATCTAGTATAGGGCCATATGCAGATGTCATTTAATGCTTTTTGATGCAGATACTAGATCGGAACCTTCAGGATTTAAGATTTATGTACAGTTTCAAAAGAAGATATGTTCAAAATTTGATTCTTAGAGCTATTGAGTAGATAATTTGTTGAATACGCTTTTTTGTAGAGAAGCAAATTTAAAGACCAAACTGCTCATCTATTGAAAAACAGTAATAAAAATGTGACTTTAACAAAAAGTAACATCTTAGTCTGACTCGTGAGCTATGTTGTTGTTGTTAGGTGCCGTTGAGACAGTTCCGACACATAGCAACCCTGTGCACAACAGAACGAAACACCGCTGGGTCCTGCACCAT